TTTAGATAACGATATAATAACTCAAATTACTCAATTAAAAGGAATTTGATTTAAACAAAATATCTTACCTAGTCAAATATAATAAATCTTAATTAGTATCGATATAATAGCCCACATTATGCAAGGTTCTTAAATTGTTTTTCCCAGTAAATTAAAAATAATTAATATTCTTCGCTTCGTTGATTACATACACTGAAGAAAACGTGCTCAATTGTGTATCTATTTATTTATTTTTTGGACGAATACCTTCATCCATCAAATAAATAGAACATATATTTCAGACTAGGATTTTTTCTTTTTCTTTTTTGTATGGTATTATTAAGATATCAAACAGACGTGCATAGCCAACAGGGGCTCATTTTGTAATCAACATTATATTAATTATCTTTTGAAATTTTACAGAGGTTAAGTGAAGTATGATTATTGAAAGAGATTGTAAAAACTTTTTATTGATGAAATAGTACAGTTTGCCGTGAAGCAGCATTAGACATAAATAGATAATGTGCCCATCTTGGTAAATAAAGGGTTAATATGGCTATATATATGTTTGAATTTTTGCGTAAAACTATGCACAAGGGGCTATTTGACCATAGCCGTCCCTAATTCTGAACTAGTCCATAGCGCCAACTTCTAAGTCGTAAGCTACTCTTTCTGACCGAGTAGTAGGACAACGAAATCATAGTAGGAATTTTGGATAGGACCCATGAGCGCTCAGTGTTTGAAGAATCCTTCTTTGTCTACTCTTCGGAAATGGACTAATGTTGACAGCAGATTATTTTGGTTAGATTTACAGCCATGGATGCTGATCTTGGCTCAATGGTGAACTATAGCCCGAGAAAGTTGAGGAAGTGAGGCTCAAGGTAGTTTGCCAATAAATTTGTCAGCTTTTTAAAAAATAGTAAATTTCTTTCAACGATTTCGCTAATAGTAGAGCCTTTGATAAGAAGAGTTCTTTGAGTATTTGATATACTACTTTAGGTGATATTTCTAGTCAATAGCAGAGACAGTCCACAAACTTGGTATTTTCTTCTTCATAGTCGGACAAATGAAGGGTCTGATTCTCTGGCTAAGCTGGTTTCGGTTTGTTGGCTTCTGGTTTGAGTAGTTGTCTGAGTTTGATGGTCGAATGTATAAGCTTCCGTTGAGAATTTTATATCATATTTTTAAGCTGGGGTTTGAGTTTGTTGATCTTCAGTTGGGCTTGGTTGCTCTGTATTTTGTGTTTAGAGTGCAGTCTTGGCGAAGGAATGGTAATGTGGTGTGGAGTGAAGAATGTGGTTTTTAGAGACTCAGTGTTCTTTTTGTGATAGGTTTTTCGGCTTTGAGTGGAAGTATTCGTAGAAACGGTAGTATTGAAATATGTATTCGATCTGTTAGCTGATGAAAGTTTGACACCACTTTGAGAGTTTTACCGAACGTAATCCTGTAGACACCATGAATGTAAAATAATAGATCATCTTCAAGAGTTTCTAGAATTTGCAGAATAGTGATAAAAAGATGTGGATGAAAGTTTGCTTCCACTTATGAAATTCATGGAAAGCGTATGTGTGAATGAAATCTTAATGTGTTAGTGGTTGAAGAAATATACCACCATGTTGAGTCATCGTTTGTTTTGTTTGTTTGTAATTAAGCACAAAGCTACACGATGGGCTATCTGTGCTCTGCCTACCACGGGTATCGAAACCAGGATTCTAGCGTTGTAAGTCTGCAGACATATCGCTGTGCCGCTAGGGGGCTGAGTCATCATGTTTTGTCCACTTGCAGTTTGATGTCGGGTTTATGGATTTTTAATAAGTCACACATTTAGCGTAGAGATTATGAAATTGACAGACCATCAAATAATGACAGGGGTCGTCATGTCGGAATGCGCCACCAAATAGTAGGATTTGACTCTCACTTTTATAATACATCAACGACCTCAGGATACAAAGCGCATTTCTGCGACAAAAAAGAACGTTCGGATTCACAACCTGGACACGCTAATGACACGGCCACGCTTGCCTATAATGTGGCTATAAAATGAGAAAGTATTATCGTCTAAATTATACACGAAAAAAAAAAAAAACATCTTCACCTTGTCTATTAAATGAGGGCTAGCACTTGTTTTTCGACTAATATTTTTAAATTTCAACTTGATTGAGGATCACAAAAAAAGGGCAAATAAGTATTGAAAATAAAAAATAATATAAAGTAAGGGAACTCATTAACATCGTCAAAAAACGTGTTCTACCAATAGTGATAGTTTTAAATTTTGTTTACAAATAAATTAAAGGTTCGAATATAAATCACAACAAAACTATTTTAATACATATATATTTGAAGAAAGACACTGCTTTTACTGTTACCTTTGGTTTGATTTCTTTTAATAATATTGTTGAACATCACATTATCTCTGCAATTTCTCTAGGGGGAATAATAATGTTTTAAGTACTATAAATATTATACTTCTATGTTTTCTGATACATATACACAAGGGGTGTGGTTAATATGACAATATTACGACGGAGCCTTTTGCAATGGAAGGTTATTGTCAAATTGGGTCCTGCGTGGCCAGGTGGATAAGGCGCTCGACTCGCAATCTGAGGGTCGTGAGTTCGAATCCCCGTCCCACCAAACATGCTA